GAGCCGCCGCCGCGCGCCTTCGACCCGGCGCTGCTGGAGTTCCTGGTGTGCCCGCTGTCCAAGAAGCCGCTGCGGTGAGGGCCGGGCCGGGCCGGGCGTCCGCGGGCCTCCGGTCGCGGGCTGCGGGAGGAGCCCTGCGCCTGTGGGTTTGTCCTTGGCTGCGCCCGGGCGCTAAATAAGAAGCTGGTTCGGGTGAGCCCCCTCGCGGCCCCGGGGCTGGGCCGGGCCCGGACGCGTGTACGTTGCTCAGAACCGCAGTGCTGTGTACGAGCAGGCGTAGCGCCGTGGAGACGAAGCGCAGGTCCAGAGCACGCAGGGCTCTAAGCCAGGGCGCTGAAATGTTGCGCGTCCGGAGTCTCGCCGGCGCCGCGGGGCGGGCGTTTGCGCGCTGCGCGTCGCCGAGCGGGGGCCGCCGGGTTTGCGGACGCCGCTCCCGCGTTTCACCTCGCCCTGCCGCTCTGCGGTTCCAAGCTAAACCGAACACTGACACCAGTAGCCCAGACCACATAAACAACAAAATGTTACCAGCGGTAACGCTGGGGTGATAAATGGCTAGCAGTTTTTATAGTATATTGTTATTTCTTTTTCTAGTTTTCCGCTATAACGAATATACGATCTAGTTTTCTTAAATAGTGAAATTACCATTTGATTTACCGTATAGCAGTTGTAGAACTAGCTCATTGCTCTCTCACTGCAGCCCCACGTTTTCTCATTTCTGTCCTCTCTTTCTCAAGCTTTTAGTTTGCATATTTTGATTTTTCACTGGTTTCCTTGTAATGGATGAGTTCAGTTTATTTACTGTGAAAGGAAGAAGTTGAATTTTTAGTTTTTGTTCCAATAGTAAACCAACTGGGATGATTTTGGGGTTGACTATAATGGTAAAGATGTGTTTGGATAGAAGGGAGATCTGATTGGTATGAAACAAAATAGACATAATTTGGGAATAAAGTGAATAAGATAACCTGAGGTAATGATGCCATGGGAACAATTATAGGAGAATCCCCTTAGAGAAATGGTTGAATTGGCTATTGCTGCTTTTAAATTGACTGTTCTGGAATTAACTTTATTTGGAGAATTGGATACATGGTGTCTTGTATTGGCCATCGAGGTCTTGCAAGCATTTTGTTTCTCACAATTCCTTTTTCTCTCCCCGCCCCCAGATATGAAGCATCCACAAACGAACTGATCAATGAAGAGTTGGGAATAGCTTATCCAATCGTTAATGGGATTCCTTACATGATACCACAAGCAGCTAGAACCACACATCCACATAAGAAGCAAGAAGAAACAGAGCAGCACTGAGTCATCATTTTAAAAAAACACAGCTTCATTTTCTTACTACCATATACACTATAAAACACGGCGGCGGGTAGTGAGTTGGGAGGAAGAATGTTTCTGTCTCTGCCTACGCTGACTGTGCTCATTCCACTGATCTCCTTAGCGGGACTATTCTACTCGGCCTCGGTGGAGGAGGACTTCCCGCAGGGCTGCACGAGCACAGCCAGCCTTTGCTTTTACAGTCTGCTCTTGCCCATCACCATTCCAGTCTATGTGTTCTTCCACCTCTGGACCTGGATGGGTATTAAGCTCTTTAGGCATAATTAACGCAGCCACAGCCAGGATGTGGTCCTAAGCACCTGTGTCTGAAAGCTCAGCGAGGTGGAAATACTGGAGACCCATTTAGTTTGGAGGAAAGTTGCTTAGCCTTGTTTAACTCAAGTTTAGGACTAAGAGGTTTAAGCTGCAGAAGCTTTGATTGTGCTTCTGTTCTGCCCTTTTTGAAGATTCTGACTGTTGTATCAGAGAAACACAATAAAATGTGATGGAGATAACACCTTTAATCATCTTCTGTTTTTCTTTTTTTTGTTGTTTTGTTTGTTTGTTTTTTCCGGTACCGGGAATCAAACTCACAACCTTGCACTTGCCAGGCAGACGCTGTGCCACTGAGCTAAATCCCCAGCCCTCATCGTCTGTTTTTCTTAGTCCATTCATCCAAAAGTTTAGTCATTTGTAATTTTGTTAGTTTAGCTTCAAGGTCAGTGGGAAAGCCATATAATTCAATCTCAAAAAATAGTTCTAGAGAACTGTATCAGAATATATCAGAACTATATCAATATGGGGCTGGGGATTTAGCTCAGCGGCACAGCCCCTGCCTGGCAAGCCTGACGTCGTGAGTTCGATTCCCAGTACTGGAAAAACAAACAAATGAAGTACATCAATAGTTCTAGAGAAATGCATTTGAACTAGTGTGATTATAAAAGGAAATTTTCATGTATTTATAAAAATTCTGAGTTTATCATCATCTCTTTTATATCAGATGCTTCTATTAATAAGCGATGACAGTTTTCCATAAAAAACCTAGTTTGCAGCTTTTCTTTTGTTCTGTCACAAGAGTATGGTACTAAGGAAAAATGTGAAAACTAAATAAAAAATTTAGAGGCTAAGCCGGTGGTGATGGCTCAGTTGTAGAGAGCTTGCCTAGTACTTTTACAAGGCCTAGCTTGGGTTGATCCCTTTGCAAAAAAAGAAAAAAACAAAAAACAGTTTACAAGGCACTCAGTGCCCCAAATAGAATCAGTTCCAAGGAAAGTAACATGTTGGATGGGTGAGGGTAGGCAGGAATGGGAAGACTTGCATGAAGCTGATTATGGTCCTGTGGAGCTTAGAGCCATGTTTTGAAGCACATTCAGGTGTTAACAGCCTTAGATCTACCAAGCACTAATGAAGGCCAGATCCTTGATGTTCTAGAACTTTGAAGTGATTGAGCATAGTACAGTAACCATTTCTTTTTTAGTTTTTTGAGATAGGATCTTGCTATGTAGTTCAGGCTGACCTTGAAATCACTCTGTACCCCACGCTGGCCTCAAACTTGAAATGATCCTTCTGCCTTAGCTTCCTGAGTGCTGGGATTACAAGCATGTGCTACCACATCTGGCTGGCACAGTAATGATTTTTGAAGTATAACATAAATGTCTCAGTAGTCAACCTAGAGACACCTAAGTATTGAATATAAATTTAATTTGTGTGTGTGTGTGTGTGTGTGTGTGAACACATGGAACATGCATGCCTGGGATCTGACCAAGCAGTCTACTAGAGCTGTATCTCAGCCCAAGACTTGATTCACTTATTAACATCTTAAAGTAGTTTAATAGAAGATTTAGATTCTTTCCCATCAAGAGAAAATTAAAACATGTGAGATGTGCTTTCTGTTGCCTTAAATTCAATATATACTAATAGTAAATTCATATTTTAAAGTTACTATGGCAAGATAATAACCTAGAGGAATGATAGAGTACCCAGTAATTTCCTGAAGAGGAATTGTTTTTAAGTTACCCTAAGTCCACAGTTAACTAATTGCAAACTGTGGTCTGTACATGGTTTTATTAATAAGCACTGTATTCTGAGAGTCAATTTCATCTTTTAGAATTTAACCAGTTAATACTTTAGAGGAAGTTTACAATACATTCCTGAGGAAGTTTAGTATTTAACTCTTTTCTCTCACTAATAGAATCTAGTTAGCAATCACTTGTCAGAACTATACAGGTATAATTCAAGGCATGTCACACGTAGTCATCTTAATCTTGTAACCTGAGGGATAGCACCCCCACCTCATCCTTATGGGGAGAGGGAGACAAAACCAGTACCCTATACTAAAAAAGTGTCCCACCACTGACCTACACCCCTCTTTCTTACTTGCCTTGGCCTCCCAAGTAGCTGGAGTTACAGGTGTGCCTGCCCTGTTCAGATGAGATGAAGAATAGAGAGATTGATTCACCCAGCAAAAGCTGGACTAAAATGCAACCACCCCTGGTTTCAGTCTTTTATCTCTGCAATATGCCTCTTCATTTTGAGTTAACTATAAGAAAAATAGAATTAGGAACCAAAATGCTTAGATTCTAATTCTTACTCAAGACAGGACTAGGTAAGTGCTGTTCATTTTCTAAAATACCATGTGCTTTAGCTAGCAGAAATAATTTCTGATGTTCTATAAGACAATAGAGTGACTATAGTTCATGACTATTATATTTTATAAAGAACTAGAAGAGGAATCTGAAGCAACCCAACACAGATGTTTGAGAGGAAAATGTTAATTACCCTATTTTTATCATACACTGTATACATGTATCAAATTATCCCATACCCTACTGTTATGGTTTGTATCTGGGTGTCCCGCCAAAGCCTTATGTGGTTATGGGGCTGGCTTTTGATCATCTAAAAAAAACTGCAAGGAGGGAGCAAAACAGGCCTAAGAGAGAAGTCATGAAAGCTATAACCACCAAAAGTGCCACAGGGGTGGACTCATGCAAGCCCTTTGGAGCTCACAATGTGCCACAGACTGTTTCAGATGCTGGTCATGTAACTACAGGACATAACGTTAGCCCTGCTGGATTTTGGACTTGGTTTGGTCCCAATGCTCTGTGTCCCCGTTTGTACCTTTTGGAATGGTACTGCTTATTTTGTGCCATTAAATGTTAAAAGTGTTTAACTTTTCATTGGTGGGGGGGGTCACAGCTAAGAGAGTTTGTCTTACATTTTGGGGGAGACTTGGGACTTAGACTTTTCAGCAATGCTGCAACTGTTAGGACTTTGGCAACTCTTGCAGATGGACTAATTGCTGTTTATATAAAGAGATAAACATGAGTCTTTGGGGGGCCGAGGGTGGAATGTTATGGTTTGTATCTGGGTGTCCCCCCAAAGCCTCATGTGGTCATGGGGCAGGCTTTTAGGGTTTGATTATGGGTGTGAGAGCTGCGCCCGCCCTGGGGTGGATAGTTTACATATGTAAGGGAGAAAGAGAGGGTACTTCTGGCTATTTCCTCCCTTGTGTGTGTGTTTGTTGCTTTTGCTGTGTTCAGACACCATGAGCTGTAACTCTCTACCATGTGCCACTCTGCCTTATAATCTGCCAAGTACAGACTAAAACCTCCACAAACTGTAAGCAAAACAAACCTTTCCTTCCTTAATTTTGGGCGTCAGGTATTTTGTCCCAACAACAACAACAAAAGTAACCAAGACACCTACACATATGGATAATTATGTGTTAATTTAGAAAACTAAGCCAGGTGTGGTGGCACATGCTTGTAATCCTAGCACTCAGGAGGCTGAGGCAGGAGGATTCCCACAAGTTTGAGGTCAGCCTGGGCTACCTGAGGGTCAGCCTGAGTTCAAGGGCAGCCTGCACTACAAAGCAAGATCCTGTCTCAAAAAAACAAAAAGAAAAAAAAAAAAAACCCACACCACTTTATTCTAATGCTTTACCTGCTTCTATTGCCTGTTTTTGTTTTGTTTTATTATTTTTTATCTCTTGTCTAAATAGTAAACTCTTACTCAACATTTTTTATCTAATGCTTAAAAGGACGTGGGCAACTATTTCCTGAGTGAATGCGCAAATAAGCTTTATAACTTTAACCAAGTTAGTTAACATCTTGGGTCCTTATCTTGAGGGCTAGAAGTCCTTCCTCTCTTATAAAATTAAATTTCACATGAAGAAGAACTTTGTAAGAGCTCCACAATTGTGACGTATTCTAGAATGACCCTGCAGTGTCAGGAGCTCTGCAGACCTGCTCTGCAGTGAAACAAGCCCAACTGGCAAAATTGTCTTAAAAATCTCACAGAATTGTCCCAAGGGCTTAGAGCAACTGGAACACTTAAGAGAATCTAGTAAAAGTTGGTAAGAAGGAGGAGTCTGAACAACCAATCATCTCTTCTCCCTGCTGGAGCTCAGAGAAGTGGCCACTTCAGAAGAAAGTAGCTGTGAACATAGGACTGACTTTTCTCCAGCCCTCAGGTGAAGGTGATGGTATCTTCTGGGAAGTGCAAGCCCCTAGATAGTTACGGTAATTGTAAAAAATTAGGAGAAATGCTTATTTATTCTCCTGAACTGATCTGCAAAGTGAATGTAGAAAATACTATGTAATTATATCTGGAAAATGTGACACATGTAACACACTTGCTATTGACAGTATGTCGGAAGTGAACAAGCAAAACGTACTTGGAGGAAAGAAATAACAAATGGCAATTTGAAGTCACAAGAACACATGAAGAGAACGAGAAAATTAATATAACCAATGCTATAAATATATACTTGCTATCCTTTCTTTTTCTTACTTTTGAGACTTGGTGGCACATGCCTGAAATCCCAGCATCAGGAGGCTGAAGGAGGATTGCCCTAAGTCTGAGACCAACTTGGGCTATGTATTGAGTTTGAGACCAGCCTAAACTACAAAGCAAGCAAGACCCTGTCTCGAAATATGTATATGTATTTTGTTGGGTCTGTAATACACAGATGCACTATGCATGATTATAATAGTACAGAAAGTGAAAAAATACAGCTATATAAAAGTGACATTTCTGTATTTTCCCTGCACTTTTATGAGTGGACCTGCAGTTTTACTGGACCTCATAGGTTCTCATTCCGCTGGTCGGAATATAAAATGCTGCAATTTCTTAGCAAAATGGCTGGCAGTCCACACAAGATTAAATACACAGTTATTTGTGGGGCTCAGCAAATCTACCCCTAGGTATACACCCAATAACATGAAACCTATGTCACTATAGCCACATAAAGACTTGTGTGCAAAAGTATACAACAGCATCATTCATAAGAGCAACCAAAAGAAGTAAAGCCAGAGTCCAGTGTCTATCAACTAATGGACAGATGCAACATGGTAAGAATACAATGAAATATTATGTAACATGGAAGAACCTGAACGTGTTGTGCTAAGTGAAACACGTAAGATTACATATTGTGTGATTCCATTGGCATGAAATGTCCGTTACAGGCAAACCAGTAAAAAGGTACACATGAGTGGTTGCCTAGGGCTGGAGGAAAAGGAGAGAT